GGAGAGGTGGAGTCCTGCCTGCCAGTGGCTTGCTGGCTCATGTTTTGGGGCCGCTGGGGCAGGGGCCCTGTTGGCCACTGCTGGCTCTGGGCTGGCAGGCTTGGAGCTGGCACAGCCACTGTGGCCAGAGACTATGCCTTTAAGGGCTCCAGGGAGGGGGGAGGGAGAGGAGTGTTCTTGGTTGAGGCCGGAGTGGCCACCAGGGCACCCTGGGAAGGCTGGAGGCCCCCTATTTCTAAATAAGTGTCCTCACAGCACTTATTGTGAAATAGCTATTTTGAATTTGGTGTTATTCCTCGTAGAATGAGGCTTACCAAATTCAAAATAAGCCCTCCGCTATTTAGAATTTATTTCGAAAGAGGGGTTTGGCTGTGTAGACACTAGGAAAGTTATTTCGAAATAAGGGCTGTTATTTCAAAATAACTTTGCTGTGTAGATATACCCTTTAAGAATAAGCCTTTTTTGAGAAAAGAAAAGCCATATTGGGTCAGACCAAAGGTCAATCTAGCCCCGTATCCTCTTTTCTGACAGTGGCCATTGCCAGGTGCCCTAGAGGAAATGAACAGAACAGGCAATCATCACATGATCCATACCTGTCATCCATTCCCAGCTTCTGACAATCCTGAAACAGATTTACTGGAACACGTCAGCCTGCATGAACTACTTAAATAATGCAAAGCCTGAATTAACTACCACTTTTTTTTTTTTTTAAACAGAAAGCCCTTATCTGGCCCATACTTTTTAACTTAACTGAGCAATATAAACTGTTATTGGCCATTTGTTATTTGTTATTGGCCATCAAATCACTAGATAAATCACAAAAGATAGCCAAATACAATTAAATTATACATCTTCAAATATATACACATGATTGAAGGTCTGAAATGAAATTACGTACCTGCGCTCTGGACTTTTCAACACATACCACAAAAAGCAATTCAAATGTTCAGAGATAAACAAAAAGCGTTCTTTATCCTCTCTTGTCTAAATCAGGAGAAAAATATGCTCCATATTTGTATATCATCTACCTGACACCATCTTTAAGCTTTGATCACACTAACATTTATATATGTATGTATCTTTACGTACACAAATAGTCCTACTGAATTAAGTGAAATTAATCAGGTGTGTGTTCAGAGGAGTAGGGCCCTAAAGGCCACAGGTGAAATCCTAACCAAATTGAAGTCAATGGCAATACTGATAAATATATATAAACACTTTCGTATTTCATGTTTGCTAATGTATTGTTTGTTACAACTTAATGTTACAACTTAATGCAACTTTCAAAAATGAAAGAAAAATGCAGGGACAGTTCAGTCACTACAGTGTCTTATCTATTCCCTTTTTATTTCCTCTTACAACTCTCTTCTTAGGACTAAACAATAAAAAATGAACCAGATTTGATGGCATCGAAGAAGCATGAATAGTATCTCCAATTCACCGAAGGTATAAAAACAGTAGAACTGCTCTACTTGGGAGTCATCCCAGACATTTTTTCACCAAACCAAACTGAGGAGATCCTGATGGGGGGAGTGGAGGGGGGATGCCTTGTGCATTGATGAACTCCCACAGAAATGGAGAGCTACTGTTATTTTCTAAAGGGTCTTTATTCTTTTTTGCTTTATCTGTTAAGTAAAAGAGCAATGCTTAGAGTCCTGTGCAAAATGTCTGTGTGTTACATACTTCACAACTACTCATTGTCTCATGAGATAATTAAACTATAACGGAAAATAGTCTCACACCTTCACTGGGATTCTGGGAGAGGGTGTGTTTAGTAGGGTATTTTGAAGATTAGCACGGACTTCTGGGGCTTAAGGGATAGCAGATTGAGTGTTAAGTGTCCAAGAAATGAGCCAGAGAGATTAATAGAGAAGATAGTGCAGCAGTTTGCTGAAACTCACAGGAGGTTAGAACAGGTGGCTAACCAAAGGACTAGATTCTGCTCACAGCACTATGGTGTTTGGCCAGATCTCTGGCACCCTCTAAAGAACATTTCATTGGTAGAGATATATTTCAGTTAATCTGATTAACTGTCAAAAGTCCATATGCATTCACTCGCCTGTATGTATGGACTTGATGTGGGGGGAGGTCCTACAAATGAGTGATCTAAGATTACCATATTGGGGAGACTTGCTAATCATTGATCATATGCCTCTTTTGGATCTTATAAAATATTTCCTGGATGACATTCCAATTATTTACTGGACTTTCTGTAAATTCTGCATCTTCCAAATGGTTGCTCGTATGCATTCACCATAAATGTGTGAGCTTGGGACTTTCTAAAATAGCATAGTCATAGATTCCAAAGTCAGAAGGGACCACTGTGACTAGTTAGTCTGAATTCCTGTATGCCACAGACCATAAAACTTCCCCAAAACAAATTACTAGAGCATATATTTTAGAAAAACATCCTATCAAGATTTAAAAATTGACAATGTTTGATAATCTACAGCAACCCTTGGTAAATTGTTCCTATGTTTGTTTGCTGTCACCATTTAAAGCTAGACAAACAAGGCATAACTTTTACTTCCAGCCATTTTATACCTTTCTTTGTTAGATTGAAGGGCCTATTATCAAATATTTGTCACTTATGTGGTAGGGGGTAGACTAATCTATTCCCTTAACCTTCTCTTTCTAAGATAAATAATTTAGAGTCAAAGAGCTCATCACCATAATCATTCTCCTGGCTCCTATCTGACTTCTTTCCAATTTATCAGCATTCTTCTTGAATTGTGGATTCCAGAACTGGACACAATATTCCAGCAGCTGTTGTACCAATGCCAAATAGAGAGGTAAAATAACTTTCCGGTTTATGGATTAAGGAACATATTAGCCCTTTCAGCCAGTGTTGCGCTGAGTCCTCATGTTCAGCTAATTATGCACCACACCCTTCAAATCTTTTTCAAAGCTGCTGCTTCTCAAGACAGTCCCATATCCTGTAAATATGGTCTACATTCTTTGTTCCTAGAGGTAGCCTTATACATTTAGCCATATTAACACACATATTGTTTGTTTATATCCAGTCTATTGGGGTTACTAGTGCAATTTGCATATATCCTTGTGCCAGCCTACCTGAAAGTATATAGAGATGGTAGCCTCAATTACCACTTACTGCCTTCTGAGGGCATAGGCAGTAAGCAGGAACTCAGCAGTACTGTATACTGTATGTTGCAAACTTCCTTAATCCCTGTACACGAATTTCTCTGTGCAGGGCAAATTTACTGACTTCAGTTCATCTTCCTTCACTAAGAGCACATAGTGCCTGTTCTGCCTCAGATAAAATGAATACTAATCAGTGTCAAATCCCAGGAACTTCATGGCAAGCTTAATCAAAATTCTTTGGCAAGATCTCTGCAATCTGTGGCACTCCAACACAACAAACTGGAGATTCTATGACTGATATGCATAAATTTAGAATGGAGGCTTCTACTGAACTAAATATGCAAATGAATAATGCATTCGCTGTAGTATCACATTATTTAATATGACATTTGAATCAATGCACACTGCTCCTCATTTGTTAGCTCTCGTTGTACTGCAAGATTTAATAAAAATACTTGGGCATATTATAAACATTGTTGAGGAAGATGAAGGTTTTGGCTGTTCAATAGGAGACAGCTGGATTTTGACACCAGAGAAGATCCACGAGGCAATTCAGGTGTTTGACACAAGCACATTACTGGATGTTAAAATTGGAAGCAAAACAAGTAAGAATATAAGAATGGCCATAATAGGTCAGATCAGTAGTCCATCTAGCTCAGAATCCCGTCTTCTGCCAGTGCCAGGTGTCTTAGAGAATTAACAGAACAGGGCAATTATTGAGTGATTTATCTCGTCATCCAGTCCCAGCTTCTGGCAGTTGGTGTTCTAGAGACACCCATAGCATTGGGTTGCATCCTTAACCATCTTGGCTAATAGCCATTGATTGACCTACTCTCTATGAATGTATCTACTTTTTTAAACCCAGTTGTCCTTTTGGCCTTCACCACATCCCCTGACAAGTTCCACAGGTTGACTCCATGTTGTGTGAAGAAGTACTCCCTTATGTTTGGTTTGCCTATTAATTTCACTGGGTGACCCCTAGTCTTTGTATTATGTGATGGGGTAAATAACACTTCCTTATTTATTTTCTCCACATCATTTATGATTGTATTGACTTCTATCATATCCCACCCTTATTAAAATAGGTAATGATAAAGACAGTGCTGATAATGAAATCTGCATTATTGGCATTATGGATAAGGCTTACATGCTGATCAGGTGACAGTCAGCATTCAATCCCTTCCATGGAAGTGGAACCTCAAGTCAAAGTTCAACATAAACACAAACCAAAAGAATCTTTAGTTTTGCTGGGCTTAATTCTTAGCCTCCTTCCTTTCAGGAGGACTCCACTTGCAGCATCTTATCTTAACACTACTTACAGGCAGCACTGTCCTTAGTGGGGTGCAGAGCCTGCGACAACCCCTTCTGTCACAGGCCCCACCGCTTTCTGCCTCTGCTTCAATCCCACCCTCATTCTACACCTTCTCCTAAAACCTGCTCCTGTCCTGCCCCTGCTCCACCCCTACTGAATCCTTTTCTCTAAGCCTCCCACCCTATGCAGCACAGTGGGGGGGTTTACCAGGGAGTCTGGCACCAGCAGCAGAAGTCAAGCCCTCCTCCACTCACTGCAGTGGCAGGAATCAGAGCATCCCGGCCCTGGCCAGCTGAGCTTTCCTGAGCCTAGCTCCCAGTGGCGTCACTCGGCAGAACAGAGTGGGCTGGGGCCAGGTCACTCCACTTCTCGCTGCCATGGTGAAGCAGAGTGACTCAGATAGGTGATGGTGGAGCAGAGTACGCTGGGGCTGGGTTGCTTCACTTCCCATGGCTCCTGCTGCCACTGGTGAAAGTGAGGGCAAGCCCAGCCCCTGCTGCCAGTGCCAGGCCCCCTGGTAATCCCTGCAGGATCCCCCAAAGCACAGGGCCCAGAGCAGCTGCCTGGCATCATCCAATGGATGGAGTGGCTCTGCATCCAGGTTCATGGTAACAAAACAAAATAATAGCCAGTGATGGGCTAATCTCCCAGTAAGGTTCTAGCAGGCCACAATTTTTAATCAACTCCTGATTCTACCCAGGTTTCTCACCCAACAAGGCCAGTCTGTTCTCCTTCCAAGTTCATTCACAAATAAGCTCTCTCCCCTATTCAATTGCTCCCACCCTGTTCTGTTCCAAGGCCTGACATCTCTGCAGGACAAGCGGTTCAGCCTATTAACCCCGGCCAGTGTAGTGTTTGTATACTCCATTGTCACACCCCTCACTATAATGAATGGGGGGTGATCAGACATCTGAGCTATTGATTCAGTCTGTTTGCAAACTCAGAAACACATCACTGCTTTGGGTACACGCAGCTGATATTTGGAAGGCTTCTTTCACAACCACTAAGGTAGAGAGATTAGATTCTGGAGTACTGTCATTAAGATGATCACAGAAATGTGGGACTGGAAAGGGCCTTGGTAAGTCATTTAGTCTAGTCCCCTGAATTAAGTCAGGACTAAGTGTTATCGATTCTAGACCATCCCTGACAGGTGTTTGCCTAATCCAGGGATGGGCAATTAGTGGTCTTCGGGCCATGTGTGGTTTGTCAGGTTTCGCCCCTGGCAGGCTGCTGGTTCTATATTTACCTGCACATCTGCAAGTACAGGCATTTGCAGTTCCCGTTAGCCATGGATCACCATTCCCAGCCCATGGAAGCTGCAGGAAGTGGTGTCCCAGTCTGTGCTGCTTCCCACAGCCAACAGGAGCTGCACGCTACTGTACCTGTGGGAACACAGATAAATATAGCACCAGCAGCACCCCTGGTCTAACCTGTTAATATAAACCTCCAACAATGGAGATTCTATAACCTCCCTGTGGAGGGGTGGGGAGTCTACACTGGACCATATTTCTGGAATAACAACTGTTATTCTGGAAAAACAATACTAGCATACATACTGCAGTTGCATTATTTTGAAAGAAAATCAAAATAATGGACAGCTTTTTGCAATGCTGGTAAACTTCATTTCACGAGGAATAAGGCCTCTTCCAAAAAAAGGGTGTGTGTAGACGCTCCACTGCTGCTATGGTTGAAACAGGGCCACTCTAAAGTTATTCCTCCCCATTGCCTCCTGGGGCTTTAAATCAAGATAGCGCATCCATATTAGGAGAGCCTGCCTCGGATTAATTTTGAGGCTTTCCTATAATGTAGACGCTCTATTTCAAAATAAGCTTTTCCGGAAGATATCTTCTGGAATAGCTTATTCCGAAAGAAACTTGCAGTGTAGATGTACCCTAGGTGATTTGTTTCAGTGTTTAATTACTCATATCATTAGGAAGTTTCTCCTAATGTCTAACCTAAATCTTCTTTGCTGCAATTTCAGCCTATTACCTCCTATCCTCACTGGAGAACAATTTATCACCCTCCTCTTTAGAACAACCTTTTATATACTTGAAGATAGTTATTGTGTCTACCCCCAGTCTTTTCTTTTCTAGACTAAACAAACCCTTTTTCCTCCCAATCTTTCTCAAGAGATCATGTTTCCTAGGCCTTTAACTATTTTTGTTGCTCTCATCTGGACTTTCTCCAATTTGTCTACATCTTTCCTGGAATGTGGTATTCAGTACTGGACACAGTACTCCTGTTGAGGCCTGATCAGTGCTGACTAGAACGGAAGAATTACTTGTAGTGTATTGTTTACAACACTCTTGTTATGTCCCAGGATCATTAACTTTTTTTTGCAACAGTATTACGCTGATTACTATTATTTAATTTGTGAACCACTACGGCGGACTCTGTGGCAAAAACTGCAAAATTATTAAGAACACAGAGATGTTATCACAGTGCACCTTGAATTTCTTACAGTTACGTTTGACATCTTACCTCATTTAGAACTAGTGGTTTAATCCTGTGACTACCAGGAACTGGACAATTCAGTGTTGTTGTAGGTGAACTACAATAATTAAAAAATAAACAGCAAGGTATTTAATATGAATGAATGCAAGGAATATGCACTGCTGACTGGTTCACTCATTCTTAACTTTGACCTAAGACCTAATTTCTCTCAAATTTACATCTTTCCTCCTGAGTGAACCCTACATCTTCCTTATTCCCCCACAATTTTTTAAATGTACTATCATTAGATTGCCTATTATTGTGTCAATGGACTCAGGAGCCTCGCATCTTAGACCTAGTCTTTACGCAGTTTTTGTATCCATGTAACCATTTCAGGTAGGGATGATATTTTTATATCATAATAGTTAAATGAGTACAACCCTCAGTGTAAACCCAGTTATGCTAATGTATAGGTGCCCTGTACATTTATGAAACAAAAGCTTGGCCTAAATCTAAAATTAGGTTTGACCTAGCTACTTTGCTCACAGCTACAAAAAAGTCATGCCCAGTGCAACATAAGTCAAACTATGCCCCATGTAGATACCAATTGATTGATGGAAGAATTCTTCTGTTAACGTAACTACTGCCTCTTGGAGAGGTGGATATACAATAGTGAACAAAAAACCCTTCTGTCACTATAGTAAGTGTCTATGCTATTGCTGTAGCTGTACCACTGTAGTGTCAACATGACAAACTGCACATCACAATATAAAGCACCTTTATGCCAATATAACTGCATCCATACTATGGGGTTGTAACGCTTCAACTATAAATATATTAGTTTGAAACTAATAACGTTTTCTGAAAACTATATGAAGACAAGCTCATAGAATGTCCTACACTCTTGTAAAATATACTGTTTTTACTTTTAAAAGAACTGCCTACCTATTTTATATTTCAACATCTGTGTAAGAGACATTGTGATACAAGAGCTCTTTCAGATGCTGTATTGTGTATGCAGAACACAGCATTAAGAATATAGCCCTTCCACTACTAGACGAAGTGAAGGAAATAACACAGTTAAATTATCTAAATTAAGTAAAAATTTGAGTGGTGAAAGTGCATCCTGATATCAAGAGGCATATAGATGTATTCAGAAAATAACACTTGTTTATAGTTCTAAGAATTTAAGCAATTAGGGCCAGGAATAATAAAATGGCAGTGCAGATAATAATACCCAGAAAAACTAAAATAGCATTATTGGAGTAATTCAGCTTATACTAAACAGACAGGATGAGGTTAGATAAAAAAATCACTCCAAAATCTGAAGGGACATGTCAGTCAAGTCAGGCACAGATTTTCAACCAGGTATAGCTCTGATTGACAGATAGGAAAAAATACAGCCACCAAACCTAAGAATGGAGCAATCAGAGAGGATTTAGAGAGGACTGGAGGAGAGGAACAATGACTGAGGAAATAACCAAAGTAGGGGGGAAAAATCATATAAGGTTTGGTGGCGTTGGTTTGTATCAGTGTGTGGAAGGAGGAGATTGTCAACAGAAGAATGGAAAAAGAAAAAGGAAGAGAAGCAGGAAGAGAGAAAAATCACTGAATGGGGAAAAAGAGGACTAGATTGTTTTGATGGATCAAGAAATCAATGCAAGCACCAGCAGCAGTATTAAAGATGAGGAGGCAGAGACCCAGGAGCAGCAGCCAGAGCAGAACATGAGCAACAGCTTGGCATAGAGACAGAACAGAAGCACCTTTTTGACAGATCAAGGGAAAAGAAGACTGCAGAAAGTAAGCATGATAATTTTGGTATAAGGAGGAGATAGGACATATGAGTGTGTTTGAGATAATAAAGCTGGATTTATATATGTATGTTTGTCACTAAACAAAAGCTTAGTATTGTAATTAGAATTGCTGTCAACATCCTATATGTGATTGATCACTATATGTACAATGTAACTACCTGAGGCCATTTCCAACTGTATGACATTGTAGTATTCAGTATTTTAATGTACACATTTGTGGTAATAGGATTTATGTTGCTTGATATTTGCTTTTGTTCTTTGAAAATATTTATTGTATTAGGGAATATTAGTATGTTAAATATTTTTGTTTTGGAAGATTACTGCCCAAGTATAAATCATTTTTTTAGATGAGAAATCTGAGGAATCTTCCCAAATAAAGGTGTCATTAGAACAGGTTTTGGAGCAAATTGATAAATTTAATAACAACAAATCACCAGGACCAGATGGCATTCACCCAAGAGTTTAGAAAGAACTCAAATGTGAAATTGCAGGACTATTAACTGTGGTATGTAACCTATCCTTTAAATGAGCTTCTGTACCTAAAGACAGGAAGATAGCTAATGTGACGCCAATATTTTAAAAAGGGCTCTAGAGGTGATTGTGACAATTACAGACCAGTAAGTCTAATGTCAGTACCGGGCAAATTAGTTGAAATTATAGTAAAGAATAAAATTGTCAGAGACATAGATTAATATAATTTATTGGGGAAAAGTCAACATGGTTTCTGTTAAGGGAAAACATGCCTTACTAGAGATCTTTGACAGAGTCAACAAACATATGGACAAGAGTGAAGTATAGTACATAGTTAGATTTCCAGAAAGCCTTTGACAAGGTCCCTCACGAAAGGCTCTTAAGTAAAGTTAGATATCATGGGATAAGAGGAAAGGTCCTCTCATGGACTGATAATTGGTTAAAAGACAGGAAACAAATGGTAGGAATAAATGGTAAGTTTTCAGAATGGAGAGAGGTAACTAGTAGTATCCCGCAAGGATCCATTTTGGGACCAATCCTATTGAATCTATTAATAAATGATCTGGGGAAAGGAATAAACTGTGAGGTAGCAAAATTTGCAGATGATACTCAACTGCTCAAGCAGATTGTGAAGAGTTTCAAAAAAGATCTTACCCAAACAAAGTGATTGGGCAAAAAAATGGCAAATGAAATGTAATTTGATAAATGTAAAGTAATACACATTGGAAAAAATAATCCCAACTATATATACAATGTGATGGGGTTCTCACAGGCTGGGAATGGATGACAGGAGAGGGATTGCTTAATGATTCCCTGTTCTGTTCACTTCCTCTGGGGCATCTGGCATTAGTCATTGTCAGAAGACAGGATACTGGGTTAGATGAACCTTTGGTCTGACCCAGTATGGCCATTCTTATGTTTTTATGTTCTAAATCCTTAAGGTGGAAGGCTACATCCATATCCTCCCAAGGATAAATAGGCTTAGCCTGTTCTAGAGTCTCATGAAGGTCATAGGAGAGCCCCTATAAATCCTAGCAATTTCTCTAGGGCAGGCCATCTCTTTTCATCTTCCAAAACAAACAATGGAGTTACTGAAATAGGCAAACCATTTCAGAGGGTGCCTTTGTTCTGGAATTTGGGGTAACATCTATGCTCTTCATCTGGATTTTAATTTGCAATCTAATGAGAATACTTTCACATTAACACACAGGTGTGTATGCCCGCATGTGCAATCATTCAAATATGCTTACAACCAGATATCAAATATTTAAATACATTGAAATAACCTTACCAATACCATAATTTGAAAAGCATAACACATACAGTGAGACAGACAAATTAAAACTGGAGTGGAAACCACAACTTTTTACCTGACTTTTGCTTATCAAAACTTTCAGCCACAATGCTGCATTTGTATAACCTTTATGTACTCCCCCTATATTATAGATGGTTTTGGATAAAAGTTGTAACACAACCCTCTGTTAATCTGAAATCTTTATAAAGGTGGTACCATACTCTAGCTAACCATTCATTTGGGGGCAGAGATGCTTTTAAAAAAATGGATTTGGGGTTTCTTACTCCTAGTGTAGCCGAGTGTAATCTGGAACTCACAAATCCCATTAGGGTATCTGGTCATTAAATAATCAAATAAGAATAGCTAGACAAAAAAGATTTTGTGTCTTGTCAGTCCCACTCACAACTGATGTGTACTATTATTTATCTAGAACAGTGGTCCCCAACGCGGTGCCCGCGGGCATCATGGCGCCCGCCGGGGCATTTGTGGGCGCCCGCGAGTGTAATCTGGAACTCACAAATCCCATTAGGGTATCTGGTCATTAAATAATCAAATAAGAATAGCTAGACAAAAAAGATTTTGTGTCTTGTCAGTCCCACTCACAACTGATGTGTACTATTATTTATCTAGAACAGTGGTCCCCAACGCGGTGCCCGCGGGCATCATGGCGCCCGCCGGGGCATTTGTGGGCGCCCG